TCGGAGGGCTCTGGCTCCGCTCGGCGACCGTGGCCCCGGCCGCCCCGAGAGAGACTTGGGCGGCCTGCCCCAAGGAGAGCGACATCCATTCAAAAATGTGCAGCTTGGGGCGTGTGGACCCCTTCGAGGTGGGGTACGCGTGCACAAGCATCCCAGACCACCAGCCCGAGGGCAGGGCCCCCAACCAGCCATTGAGCCGCGTCTGGCAGTCAGCCAAAGTGCTGGACCATGCCATCGACAAGGTCGTGTACATTGGCTACGAGCAGCCCATCGAGGTGTTCCGGGCAATTCTCCCGAGCGGCCGCGAGCAGCTGCTGACCACCGAAGGGTGGAAGCTGTGGATCCTGCAGCGCTCCGCCCTCGCCCGCTTTCCGAAGAAGGCGCTCATCGCGCCGAAGATCCTCATGGACGAGGAGGCCATCAACGAGAAGATCAAAGCTGCTGACATCCCGGAGGACGTGGATGCCACGTACCTGAAGTCCGAGGATGGCACGTCGACGCATTTAGCAAGTCCAAGGCGCAGTCCAAGTGAAGGGAACCGACAGCTTTCCAAAAAGTGCGCAGAAAGGGTCCGGAGAGCTAAGGGACTGGAAGGTTCCAATATGTTTCCGAAACCCCGAAACCTCCACTGCCAGCTGGATTTTGAGACGACGTCGACCTCCACAAAACCTGCCTTCCTGGCCTTCCAGCACGTCCTTCGAAGATCGAAGGCCCCGGGTCTATGCTCGTCGTGAGTTGGTTGAGGTTCTTGCCGTGCTCGGATTGTCATGACGTAGCATGTGGATTACGATGGCCTTGCGTATTTTCGGAATGAGGGTGGTAAGTACTCAAGCAACTAAGCCCCTGGAAGGTTGCAGGCGTGGGTGCGGGCAGTGTAGATACGAGTTTTCATGTGCTTGAGCTCTTCACCTGACGGGTGTCCGAGAAAATGGTGACAGGAGCAAACTCAAACCAAGCCATACGGTACAGGTTGTCAAAGACACTCAGAGCCATGCGTGAGGAAGCAGTCTGGCTGGCGTTGAGTGGCTCAAATGGTTCTGGGTTCCGGTTTCCTGCGTAGTTTCCGCAGCAGCTTCCAGGACGGGCGCAAATTTGTGAAGGGAAGTGCTGTGACGAAGGAGGTAGGCGCTCATTCGCGACCATTTGCACTCAACAAATCTTCCCTGCAGACGCGAACTTCCACGCACTTGTTCCCTTCACTGGGGGTGTCGCTTAGCCATTTCCGGCGGGGAGCCACCCCCTTGGCGTATATGTTTGGCCTTAGCAGGGGTCCTTACGAGCCGTTGGTCCAGGTGCCGGCGCGCAGCTCACCACTGAGGTAATGGCCCCGGCTTAGCGGTCAGCGTAGGTGGGGAGTGAAAGCCTATGTTTCAGAGTTGGCCTTCGGTGTGTTTTGAGGTCGTTGGGCCGAGAGTGCAGGGATGCCGGGGCTCAGGCAAGGGTTCGGACCTCCTGGAATAGGGCTAGAGCTCTTCCAAGCGGAGCTGCGTTTATGAGCTTTGTTGGTGCAGTCATTCCCAGAACTCGCTTGACAGCTCCGGACAGTTCAGTCTCACAGTCTCTCCATGACCCGCTGGAGCGAAACCGCCAAATCCCGCAACAGCTTTGAATCCACATGAAGACCTGCCTACTAGTAGTGCATGCTGCAGTTTGTAGGAGTGTCCGCTTTGCGCCTGCGCGGCCAGCGCTGGTCGGATGCGCGTGAAAACGGCTCATTCGGAGACTGGTCACCATAGAATCCGACGTGCTCACCGAATAACCTTGCGAGGTGAGCTGCGTTTCGCTTGGAATCTCCCAACTCTCGGAATCTGGACCTTGAGGCTCAAGTCAAGAAAACACGGGATTCTCAATTTCCTGCTGGATCCCGCCGTCGTTCTTACAAGATCTTTCCGAGCTGGTGGCCTTGCTTCAACCTGTGTAGCCTATATTCTCTAGATGCGACTCGCTGCTAACTGCTAACTGCCACCTGGAATCTGCCGTTTGCTGTTCTCACTCCACATCCTTTAACCCCAAAGCCCAAAAATTCCTTCGTTGAGGAACCGAACCTGGCTAAAAAATGAAGAACTCTGAGTAATGTGCTTCATAAGCAAGTTAACATGAATCCCAATATAATAAACCGCAGGGAATGAAGGAGGTCATGAGGAGATTATATCCGTTCACGTGTCGTGGCAGGTGCACGGATGTGTCAGTGAGGGATCAAGTCGTGTTGCTTCGGACAATTGAATGAAGCACCTATCTGCGAAAATATGCCAGGCAGTTTCGCTAGTCTGAAGCTATACATCGGACGGCTTATTTGGTTGCGATTATTGTTTAATTCCCAATAGACGGAGATTACGATGATGATGATGATGATGATGAGGAGAGTTTTCTTGATCCAGGTGTTCTAGGTTGAAGGCAAACGGAGCCTTGGCATGGAATGTACTGACTGCTACCTCTTCGATTGCACGACCAGAGCAGAGGTCGCTTGAGAGTGGGAGTGGTTGCGGTGGTTGCAGTGGTTGCTGCTTCTTCCTGTTGGCATTGTAATTTCAAGCCAGTATGTCTGCTATGTCAACGTGCCACACAGGCATATGTGCCCGATGGGTTCATGCAATGGATGTACAGGTTCGCCGGGTGGTTGTTGCAGCGCTTCCGAGATAAAATACACAAACTTCAAGTTGAAAAGCACTGGGGACCAGGGAACCCTAAACCCTAAAGACCAGGGAGTAGGGTAGGCGCTTGCAGCGGAGTCGGAGGTTTTTTGCGGGTGACACGACCTCCAGCGTAAGCCATAGTCAGAGCCGTTTTCGAGCAGGTTGCCATGGCAGTCCGCGCGTCTGGTTGACATGCCCTGGCATGCGCCACCAGACTCACTTGTGGCCGCGAAGTTGAACAAGCTTCCCCTCCATGACCCAGCGTGGCTTTGTGGCTTGTGCTTCGCGAGGTGCAAGAATGTGTACTGCAAGCTTGTGGTTCTCTTTGTTGGCATGTTGTTGATCCCTGTATTTCTAGTTCATCTGATTCTCGTCGCTCATCAGTGTTGGGGCAAGAGCCTCAAATGCTGGGAACGCTCAGCGGAGCTGGCTGCGCAAGGGCCCCTTTTCTTCTGCGTCCTGGTTGGGGGACTGACTGGAATCTTCGGTCTTTGCGTCTGCTTCTGGTGGCTCAAGAGCTGTGCATATCGGCGCTGCCGCAGCTCCGACTTTCATTACGGATACGCTGTGGTGGGCCAAGGCAGCTGCTGGGAAGTGAAGTTTTGGATGCTCTCTTGCCCCAACGGGCCCCCGCCGAGAGGGAACGCATGTGATTTATTTTGCAGAAACTGCTTATGTTGTATCCTTAGTATCCTTCATACCGTGGCGAACCTTCCCATGCTCCTCTATTCCTGCTTCTGTGGCTGTGATCAGGTAGAAAGCTTATACCTGCCTACGGAAGTCTGCGTGAAAGGAGAGGAGGTCGCCTTGCTCTTGCCAGAGCCTTGTGCAGAGACCAGGGGCCTTAAGACCTATGTGTCAGCTACTTTTCTGGGAGTTGATGAGGAACAGGAGCCGCGGGCAAAGTTTCGGTGTGCAGATGGGACGGTCTATTGGCTCACTGTGGAAGACATGTGCGATGGAGAGCTCTGCTTCGTTGGACCAAGCTTCCTAGTTGGCCAAGTCCGCGTGAGTTTGGATGATCTGCTAGACATGGATTCTGACTGCAACGCTGCTGCTTGGTCTGACTCTTTTAACCAGGAGTTGTGGCAGTAGCTCAAAGACGGCTTAAAGTAGTCACCTGACGGGTGTCCGACCTTGTGGTGACAGGAGCAAACTCAAACCAAGCCATACAGCTTGTCACACTCAGAGCCATGCGTGAGGAAGCAGTCTGGCAGGTGTTGAGTGCCCCTAAACCCTAAAGGTCCTACGCCCTCCCAGTGATGCTCTCTGGCTGAAATGGTTCTGGGTTCTGGTTTCCTGCGTAGTTTCTGCAGCAGCTTCCAGGACCGGCGCAAATTTGTGAAGGGAAGTGCTGTGACGAAGGAGGTATTCCCTGTAATGGGCTGAGCCAGGCTCGAATTGCTAAACTAAGATCCCCATGAGTGCGCCAGCAAACCCAGCAAAACCCCAAGCCGAAGGCGCAAGACTCCAAGTTTCCCAGAGGATTTCAGTTGCCAATGTTCCGACGCCGCCGATGATGGCTTCAGGAAGGTTGCAGCCCATCGCAAAGTCCGGATTTGCAACCACCCCTTCAACACGGCAAGCATCGAAGAACGTCTGGGTGGTGGCTTAACCTTTTTGCCGAGACTAGACCTATGCCACGGACCGAACTCTTCAATTTTCCATAAACACGCACTTCCCAAACCTAACATAGCAATCCGGGGCGACTAATGCTCTTACTGCACACTCCGCATGATAACCCCTCAACTCCTCATCCGTGAGCAGCCGTCCGGCGAAAGCCATGTGCATCTTCTGCGAAAAGGCCAAAGGCGAACTGGATGGCAATTTAACGGCCGCACAAAAGCGAGAGATCGAGTCCTGCGTCGACCCTCGCCTGCCAAGATTTGGAAGGTTGAGGGTGGAGACACGTCTCCTTTTCGATTTTTCCGGGGTCTTAGCCAGACGTGAGTCCAGCCACAGCTGTACAAAGAGACACGGAGGTCCAAAAACCCCCAAAAACCACAACAAAAACCCAAAACACCCAAAAACCCACTGAAAAAGCAGACACGCTATAACCCCCAACACCCCCTTCTCTCCACTGAGGACCTACAGGAGCGGCGCATTCGGGCCACCATCCTCACGGGCTTCCTCGGGGCCGGGAAGACGACCTTCCTGAACTTCGTGCTGAAAAGCTGCCTGGGATGCCGGTTTAGGGTTTAGGGTCTAGGGTTTAGGGTTTAGGGTTTAGGGTCATGGCACGCCATGGCACGCCCGAGTATTTGGAACGCTGTTTTTCTGTGAGTCATGGGCCAGTTCCGCAGTACATGGATAAAGCGGGTTAGCATGTAGACGGAATTCACGTTGATGCCGTTGCCTTTGCCCGATTCATCCCAATGTTAACGGTTTGCTTGAAGCTGGACAGCCGCGAGGCCTCGGGCATGGGCGGCGCATTGCAGTTGTTCAGAACGAGTTCGGCAAGGTCCCAATCGATGACCAACTCATGCTGTCCGTCGCTCAAGTCATTGACAGTTGAAGTGACGGGTTTTCAGATTTGGTCTCTTGCTGGGGTGGGTGGGTGGGTGAGTGTGGAAAAAGACAGCGGCGTTTTTCTCGCTTCACGCCCTGCGAGATCCCGAGTCGCTGCTGAGTTTCACTGAGGCTCGAGCAATCTGCCGCGGAGACCATCGTGATGCCGAATGGCTGCCTTTGCTGCCGAGTTCGGGGAGACCTGGTCGATGCTCTGAGGCATCGATGGTGCGTTAAGGGAAACCTCTGTGATGTCCGTTCTTTTGGTGATGAAACCCAGGGCTATACTTCCGAAATCTTCCGAAAATAGAAAGACGCCTTCTACTCGACTATGCTTTTTAACATCTAAGGTCGAAGGCGCTAGCAGATTGGAGTCACAAGCCATACGTCAGGTTGCTGAGTTTTCTACGATTCTAATGACGTAGCAGAAGGGGCTTCACAAAACAAAAATCCCTAAAACCCTTGAACCAAGAACCCCAAACTCTAAACTCTCCTAAACTTCAGGATCTCCAACAGGAGGAAAAGAGGCGATAGAAAGAAACAATAGTGCTAGCATCAGATGGACTCCGTTGCGGCCTTTACAGCGAAACCCTTGCAGAAGTCCCATAACAGTCAGGGATGATAGGAGGGACCCTAGAAGCGACCCCAACCCAATACCCTATATAACCATTTTATACCCCTTCTACTACAGTCTCACAAAGCTCCCTATTTTCACACCAAAGGGTCCCTTTAAGGGTCTCTCCTTTAGTCCTTTAGAACCCAATACACCTTAATTAAGGAATATACCTTAAGTTATAGGGGCCTTAATGCCATGATTTAAGGTAGTTTCCTTAATTTTAAGGGGTATTGGAGTCCCTTGATAACATCACTCCCCTAAACCCTAAACCCTAAGCCCCAAAACCCTAACCCTATTCCCTAAACCCTAAGCCCTATTCCCTAAACCCCAAACCCTATTCTCCAAACCCTATAAACCCTAAAACCCTAGAACCTAAACCCTAAAACCCCAAACCCTATAATTACTAAACCCATAACATCACTCTGATGGCCCCGCAGGCGCCTCGCCGATGCCCCGGAGACTTTGGCGGCCGAGGCTTCGGGGGGCCAAAAGCTGGACTCCCTGCTTCCTGCCTTTTAGGTTTAGGGAAGTTTAGGGGTTTAGGATGGTTTAGGGTGGTTTAGGGGTTTAGGGGTTTAGGATGGTTTAGGGTGGTTTAGGGTGGTTTAGGGGTTTAGGATGGTTTAGGGTGGTTTAGGGTGGTTTAGAGGTTTAGGGGTTTAGGGTGGTTTAGGGTGGTTTAGGGGTTTAGGATGGTTTAGGGTGGTTTAGGGGTTTAGGGGGTTTAAGGGGTTTAGGGCTTTAGGGCTTTAGGGGTTTAGGGGGTTTAGGGGTTTAGGGTGGTTTAGGGGTTTAGGATGGTTTAGGGTGGTTTAGGGAAGTTTAGGGGTTTAGGATGGTTTAGGGTGGGGGGTTTCTGGATGGAGGGACGAGGATTGAGGATTCTGATTTCGTTGGGATATTCTTCAAAGTGTCACAGGTCTATGCACTATACAGCGTTCAAAAGGACGTTGGCAGAGCTGAGCTGGTGATCCCGGATTGAGGATGCAGGTGGCCTGAAACGATCATGATGATGATATTAGAAGATAGTGATGATGACGATGATGACGGTGACGTTGATGGGGATGGTGTTGGTGAGGCTAGTGGCGATGATGGTGATGCTGGTGACGGATGCAGATGGGGATGCTGCTGCTGCTGCTGCTGAAGATGAAGCTGATGCTTGCGATGATGAGGAGGTGATTGTACCCGTACATAAATGTGAGTGAGGACGTGGAAGTCGGGGTACTCGAATTCTAGATGCTAACCCGCGAAAACTTCAAAACATCCCAAAACTCTGCCAACCGACCCGGTAATCTGCTGAATCCCCGTGGTCCTCTGGAACGACACCAAAACATTCACAGATAATCAGAAATAGATCCCAGAAGAACAGAGCTGCGAGACAGCGTTCCCGTGCAGAACTCCACAAGGCAGCAACTTCGAAGCACTTTAACGATCAGCTGTGGCCTTCCTCAAGGTCGCCACATATCATCCTAGTGTCATCTATCCTATGCAAATCCCTTTAGATTCTACTCATTACGACACTTCCCTAGGCCCTAAACCCTAAACCCTTATGATTATGCTAGTGGATTCGTGAGCTAGTACCTAACAGACGGGCAGACGGAAAAAGGCCCTCAAAAAAAAAGAGAACCGAATGTTAAACCACTCCCTGAAGCAGTCATCCGAGGCTTATCGAGTGCTCTGGCCTCTCGGAGGCTCACCCGGCCCAGGAGTGATTTGCTCCAGGGCTCAGGTTGTTCTTGCGGCGAATTTTGCTGGGTGTTTTCCTTGCGGCTGATGATCTAAATCCTGCATTACCCCATAATAAGGAATAGACCCATAATGTCGCATAGTTTAGGGGTCCTTAAGGTAATGCAGGGCTAGTCTATCATCAACGGTAGCTTGTCTCTAAGGCTCTGTAACGCTTTGGGTTCTGGGATTCGCCTGAGGGTTCCTGGGTCTGGGAGTGTTGGTAGAGAGTGGGGGCGGCTGCATGTTTCAAGGTCGGACTTCGGGGCTTTCGCGGTATTTCGGTGCTTGTTTGGGCTTTTTTGGGGGCTGCAAGTTCGGCCGGTAGGTTTCCACCCCCCGGAGCCCAGCAGCCAGGGACCCTAGCGGAATACTTGGAGAGAGGGCAGATTTGGGTTTCGGGTACAGGGCTTTTGCTGCCGAATCTGCAGAAGCTCGACCTTCCGTCTGTGGCTTACCCTGTCTTCGAAGTGAGTTGTTGGAAGGCTGATGAGAACGATCTTTATATTCCCGGGACTGGTCTTGGACTGTCGTGCAACCAACAGAAGCAGGCATGAGCAGCGAGAGCCCGAAGAGGATTTCAGGCTTTGCGGTTAAACTGCAATCAAAACACACTCACCGTGCTTTTGAAGGTGCTGCCGGTGGCCCAGACCTTTTTCTCAGACCCCTTCGTGCAGGCTCTCGGCCTCGGGGCTGGGGGGGTTCGATTCATGACCCTCTAAACCCTAAACCCCAAGACCCTAAGGCCCTAAACCCTATTTCCGGAGCGGGCAAAGGGAGGACTGTGGTTCGAGTTTCGTGACCATGAGCAGAGCCATCAGAGCACTGAAGTTGTTGGTCTCATGATGAATTGGGCTTCGGACCCCAGAAACGGCAAATCCCTTGAGTCCTGATTCCTCAACCTCCAGGACTTGCGCCAATGAGCTCTGATCGTACATGTGGCGGAAGGTCTTGCGCATCCTTGCATTTGTGCCGTCCGCCGCCGTCTGCCTTTATTTCAAGCTTTGAAGCAGACATGGCCGTAAAAAGGTCACAAGCAACCCTGAAGAGACACGGCAGTGTCAAGCCTGCAGCCAGTCCTCAGATCCAGGACCTCTGCCCAGGCCTGAAGAACATGGCCCCCGAGGCGCGTCGACCCCCGGACACCCGAAGATCAGAAAGAGCAAGGTGTGCATGTCTATGGACCATATATAGCTAAAGCAGCTAGGGAAGAGAGCGCCTGCGCCGGTGGGTCCCGGTGCTGCCCTTGGCGAAGTGCCGAGGCACATCTGGTTTCGTTCTCAACTTGCGTTCTGAGCTCCAGGATTTGGGGATTCGAGGTTTCGGTTTCGGGCGGTCGAGGCTATGCTGGCCCGTCCCGGCTCATCGCCTTATCCTTCTGACAGGCTTTGGGGTTTAGGCTTTGACACGGATTCCGATGGCACGGACCAGTGATAGCAGGATCTGCCACAAGAATGACGCAATGACTTAGCAACATCAGGACAGGTCGTGATTAATCGCTGCTAATATTACGCAGATGTGGCAGATTGTTATCATACACCTATGATGGTTGTAATATTGGCAAGACTGATACAAACTAGCTGTCTTCTAAGATACTAGCCGTACTAGCCAGCAACACTCTCCAAGCGTCATGCTACCAGCAGTGCTGCGGTCAAGATCAGCATGACTCCTACCAGCACTAGCTCTTTCACAGCAAAGTCCCTGTTGCGGAGTATGCGCAGACGCCCTCAGGCGGTAAGCCACTAGGCCCGAAGCATTTATAGTTGTGAGGCGGTAGGCAGACAGGTCACGACATTTTTAATTCACAAATGCCCAGAAGCGCAAACATGCCAAGCCAACCCTAAACTCAACAAACACCCAACACTGAAAAAGCTCTTAAAACCCCAAAATACCTCAACGCGAAATTCGTCAATACCCTAAACCCTAAACCCTCAAATGTGTCGGAAGCGCGTCGAGGAGTCACCAAATGGGCGCGGCCAGTGGAGCTGCTCTCCAAGACATTTTCCTTTGTGAGTGTGACATGGGTAGTTCTCCAAATTTTTAATAACGGCACCCCTATAAAAACAAGGGACCCCCAAAAGGGACGGACCCTAATTTCGAAAAGATGCCCAAATGTTCGCTGCTTTTCGTACTTTATGGGACCAAGCTCAAGGCGGGTGAGTGCAGTGCATAGCAGGAAGGTCTACGCGACTCTTGGTGGTCCTTCCATGTTGCTCATTACAGGGATTTCCGATTCAGGCGCTTCAATCTCGTTGCGGTTCAAGACTCTCCTTGATGCTTTCAGAAGATGCATGTAAGGCTGATGCACCTTTCGCCATGGCTCTTTTTCTAGGTGTTGCAGTCAGTTAGTCGGGCCGAGAGTGGCGGGCTTGCATTTGGACATGAGTTTAGTGCCTACTGCAGCACTTAGTGTGCCTGGCTAATGTCTCCACATGCAAAGTGCGAGGCCTTACGCAACGGCAAGAAGGCTTTCCTACTTACTGCTTAATTACGGAAGATAAGTATTGCAAGGGCTGAATGCACGCCAAGCCTCAGCCCCCGTTTGTTTCATCCCAAACAAACCCTGTAGCTACGCCTGAACTCCTTCAGGTCGCGGCGCCGCTGTCCTACTTGGCCTGCGAGACCCCGTGTTGCGACGGGCAGAACAGTCTATTGGTCGAGCACCG